GCATGTATTCCTCCAGCTCTCTCCTGCAGAGTCCCTGAGACCAAGGGGATCCCTCTATCCAAGGTCACAGCCCCATCAGGCTGGCCCTCTATACAGCGCCCTCTGGAGCCAGGATCTGGTAACTGCTGCCTCCTCTGCCCTTCCTGGTTTCCTTAGACCCTGTTCCTCTCTTTTTTGTGAATAGTTCCTTCATAAATCACCCACTTTAAGAGTGCCTTTTGTTTCCTGCCAGAAGCCTAACTGATTAACCAGTTTTACTTTTAAATTGTGTGAACTTGCAAGTCACTCATATCTCTGGGCCTAACTTTCTTTACCTGTCAAGCAGGGATCATGATGTCTGGTCTCCCTTGTCATGGAAGTTGAAGGAAGTAACAGGTGGAAAGGAACTTGAGAAAACATAAGTAACGTGAGCTAGCAATTTAATTCTGAGAGGTGCAGAAGGAGCCCTTGATATATAACTTGACTTGAATCAGAACATTCTTTGTGAGGAAAATGAGCCTCCGAGATGTTGAATGTTTCTATTCTGAAAAGGCTGATAAAAAGCAAAGTAGAGGGAAAAACATTGCTGAAGAGAAAGAGAAAGGAGAACTTTATTTTGCATTTGCTTTTTGATGGCAGGACTGGTGTATTTCAAAGCCTCCTTTGCTTAGGAATCTGTGAGAAAGCTACGCAAAATAAAAACATGAGAAAGTCAAGGCTGGTTTCATCCCAGGTGATGGTCTTGGCTGAGAAGCAAGGAAAACATACCACTGCTGTCCAAGCAGGTCCCCTTTCGGTGAGTGTGTACCAGAGGACATCTCCTGTGCCCTGCCAGGATAGAACTTGCTGGGAAGAGCCACTTGGCATATTCTTTTCTTTCAAAATCCAGGCATCTATGAACCCAGGCATGCCACCCTAAGTGCAGGCGCAGGAGTGGAAAGGGTGCCTGCCAAGCCAAACTCTCTCATCCGGAAAACCTTTGCTCCAGGGCCAGGTGTTTCAGCTCCTTCCCTACTCCCCGTCAATGGAGGCTTCCGGAATTTCCCTGTCTGTAGAATGAGAACAACTACACCAATATTCCTTCCCAAGGAACTAACTGGAATACAGCCAATAAAAATCTTTGCAGCAGATTGATGCTGAGATGCCGAATTACAATTTAGCTGCTATAGTTTACAATTCAGTATCTCCTTCCCAAGAAGTCTATTAGACAGCTCAAACCTCCTACCATTCTTCCTATTCACTCCATCAGTATTTGACTCCTGAAGATGAAGTTGTGTTTGAACAAATGACACATTGAGGGACGTTTTATTGTTTTTGGTGAACCAAATACATTTCTTAACGTTATCATTAAAAATTGCTCTTAAAAATATTACATATGTTTTAAACAAACAGGTTTTAGGGCTCATTATCAGAATTGCATACGAATTAAAGAATAAAACTTTATAGCTCCTCAAGCAGTTTTTTTAAAATTTAGATGTGTTTTGTCTACCAATTTAATAATTAAAGGTGATTTCTGCACATCAGAAAGTTTGAACAATTGTCTAACTGAATTTCGTATGTACAATTGTCCTGTTTTCTTGGGGAAAATGCTGTGAGTTAAGGTGATTAATTCTATTCAATACAGGATTTTTCCCCATCTTGTTTTTTTAATTGAAGGTTAGGTTGAGATGGGTTTCTGATGAATAACCAGCTCTGAGTAGGAGTATTTTAGTGAACACAGCTGACACTACCTATTTGCCTATACTCATTCTTCTCTCCTGCCTCCCTAACAAAATTCTGAGTTTGAGAGCAGCAATTTACTCAATTAAAATGACTCAGCATCCCAGATCGCCTTGCTGTTAGGATTGCTATGTGACTTGCTCTGGTGATGAAATTATGTGGAAGTCGGCTAGTGGGCTTCCAGAAATGCTACTGGGACTGGTTTCCTCCCTGTGCCCATCCATCCTGCCTACGGGATGGTAGCTGCTACACATCATGCAGCACACAAAGGTAGTGGGAGCTTAAGTCTCTGCTAGTCATACCCTGGACTGCTCTCCCCTCCATGAGGTTTCTTATTACCAGGGAGTGTTAAAAAAAAAAAAAAAAAGAGACAATAGGCCTAAAATGGAGTCACTTATGCTAAGCCAATGTCATCAAACTGAGACTTAATACCTATCCTAATTGCAATTTTAGCCTCTCCCAAGAATGTAATCTTAACCAGTCAGTCTGGAATTTCCTGGTCAGCACTGGTGAGGTGATCCATTTGATAGACCCCTTCCGTTCCCTAAAGAAAGGTGACTTTGCCTTTTCAGTCTTTTCCCCCTTCTGCCTATGAAAGCCTCTTCCATTCTGTACTGCTCCTTGGAGTTCCTTTCTATCTGCTAGAAGGGATGTTGCCGACTCAGGAATTGTTGCATAATGCTAATTTGAACTTTAAATTTATTCAGTTGAATTTTGTTTTTTAACAGATTTGGTGGCAATGACAGAATCTGAAGTGAACTTCTGATGGCTTCAAGGGCAATGAGAAGCAGGTGTGGTACCCCACAATCCCTGAGTTCACTGTCTTTCCCACTGTTTCTGAGGCCCATGGACCTCCTGGTTCTGAGCTTCACTCTACTTTGAGTTCCTGATCTAATTGGCTTTCCAGTCAGTTCCCTATTTGATTCAAAACGCCCACCCTTGGATCTGTTCTCAGATTCCATGCTGGGAACTGCTGATGGATCAGTCCACAGTTCCCCATTGTGTGGAACCCTGGTCCACTACTGAATTCACTAGTGGGTTTTACCTTGATGGTACTGTTTAAGGAAAGAGAAGGCTCTTCCAAGCCCCAGTTGCACCATCCTTGGACCCTGACCTCACACCCTTTCAGCACTCGCATATCTGTGCACGATTCCATCTACCGTGCAGACATTCTCGCAGATGCTCACCTCTCAGTCCCTTCCCAGGCCAGCTTAGAATTTCAGTAACATAGGGAATCAAGGGGTTATAAAGAGATAGCAGGAGAGAAAGAGGAGGCCCAAGAAGAGTGGAAAATGAAGGGCATTTGGACATCAGAAGGTTAAGGAAGATGACATTATAAGGAGGAAGATAGAGAAAAGAGTTTCAGGGGATTTTATCTGTGATGACATGGCATATGGGTCCACAATGGATGGAAAGTTCGAACAGAGAGAGAGAAATAAGGCATATGGCTTCGGTCAATGAAACCTTTCCAAGATCTTCCACTTCTGGAGAATTCCCAACCCTTAATTAAAACCCTTTGCTGGCACAGGAAAGAATTCGAGACTTGCGTATCTTCATCAGAAGGACACTAACTCTACATTTTACATAATTCTCCCTGGTATTCTGTGGTCCTGTGATATCTAAGCCCAACCACAGCAGTGACAGTGACTAGCTCAGTCTCACGCATTGTTGCCACCTGCATAGCACTGCTTACTTCCTGCCAAGTGCTTTCTTTGCCTTTAATGTTCACAACAATCCTATGGAATATCAATACTCTAATTTTCTTTAAACAAAACCTTTTATGTGAATATAATAAACATGCACAAAAGTGCCTAACATATAAATGCATAGCTTAGTACATGATTATAAAGTGAATGCCTGTATAACGACCTCCCATGTCATGAAATTGAACAACTCCATCCCCCAGAAGCCCTCCAACCACAAACTCCTCTCCAACTGCACACCACACCCTGTTTTCTGGATAATAAACTATAACTCAGAAATGTGATTGCTCAAGATCACACCACCTGGAGCCCCATGAAAACCCAAGTTATCTCCTTTACATATCAAGCACTTTGCAGCCAACCTGCCCCTTCTAGAAGCAAGATTCTGGGCTGGGTCTTTTCCAGACACCACTTAAGCTGTCAGCTTCATACCTGGACAAAAGCAACTCCTTGAGTCTCTACTGACCCAAGGAGCCTCTCACTCAGAAACCTAGGTGGTGAGAATCAGTTAGCTCCATGTCTCTAAGAAATAAGTGGCTATCTTAGGTGGCAAGCTGAGAAGTAGAGGTGTGAGCTGG